GCGATGATACTCTCATCACCAATGGTTTGTATCACTAACGTTTTAATGATACCGATGGTGATAAAGGCATTGGTGATAGGCCAATCTGTAGTAGTGAACATATATCCCTATATATCTCCTCTAATATGCTATTAAAAATGTAAGTCATCCTTTGTTTGTCTTCTAGATAGACCCCAAAACATATACTCCCCTCTTGTGGAAAAGTTGACCTTTAAGCCTAGCAAGTATTCAAAGTAGTAAAGCAAGATTTTCAATTGAGAGTAGATTGATCTAAGATATTATTTATAAAGTGAAGGGTTTAGGAAGGTTCCATTGTCCGAGAAGGGGTTGTTTGTCTTCTTGATAGACCCCAAAAACATATACTCCCCTCTTGTGAAAAAGTTGACCTTTAAGCCTGTCAAGTATTCAAACTAGTAAAGCAAGATTTTCAATTGAGAGTACATTGATCAAAGATATCAATTATAAAGTGAAGGGTTTGGGAAGGTTCCATTGTTCGGGAAGGGGTAGTGGGGCTTGAGCGCTCCTAGCCCCGATGCTAGATCTACCTCTAACGACCACCCCTTGTTTGTTCTTTTGTGTTTCGGATTCAGTTTTGTTTTCCTCCAACCTTAGCAATTGGAGTCAACATGTTCGTTAAAACTTTGATGAAGCCCTTGAAATCAAACATTGAGAAGGGATATGGTTTTGTATTGCTTGATGTTCATTGGTCTTTTAACTTTAGGAAGGAGAGTGATCACACCTTATTCATTTTCTTAGAGCAACTCCACCAGATTGATAAAAACCCTCTTTCCCTGAAAATTGGGATATAGGGGAATGAAATAAAAAAACTCCTCCAGTAGATCCCATTTCTCAATTCCTTTTTTCTATACTTTATCTCACTCACTCAAAAACTCTCCTTAACCCTTCAAAGAAAGAGGAAGTGACAGATTTTTCTCAATCCTTTTCTCCTCGCTCTTGTCACTTATGTGTGGGTCCACGACATGGTGGAGCACCGTTGAGGTGCTCTGGGCGAGCGTCGCCACCGCGCTGAGCGATCGGGGTGACCACGCGTCGTCGCCACCGCACGAGCTGGTCGCGTCACCGCGCGCTGGACTGCTTGAGACGCCATCATGTCGGGTGGAAGAGCGCGCGCTGCTGTGTGATGTCGTTTCTTTGCCGTGATAAAAGGAGAGGAAAGAGAAAAGAGGGAAAGGGAAGTAGAGAGACACTAGTGACTAGTGGGTCACACGTATGAAAAGGAGATAAGTGTTTTTCAATTTGCAAAAACTCTCCCCTATAATCTAAAATTGAGTTTTGTCAACCCCTTATACTAACTTCTAAGAACAACTCCAGCAGTAGACCCCCAAATCAAGGCCCCCATTTTTTATTTGGGTGCCCACCCCCATTTTTGTTGGCCTAAATTTATGCTTCCACTCCAGCAGTAGCATCCAAATGAAGGCCCCAAATTCCTTTAGGTAGACACTGACCAAAGGGACCCACTCGTCATCCTCCCTAACAACTGAGCTATGGTCACGGGGAAGTGGAGTCGGATCTGGAACTCACAGAGTCGCGGCTCGCGGCGGGGTCGCAACGTCGAGGCGGAGCTCCGCTCATGGGGAAGCGCCGGGGAGCGGGCGCGCCCGATGGAGAAGCCGTCCTCGACGTGCGAGCGACTAGGAGAGGAACCGTCCTCGACGCTGTCGGATCCACGCCTCCGGGTGGCCTCGCCCGCGCAGGCCCTGCCGGAGCGGAGGGAGGAGCCGCCGTGCTCGCCGGAGCGGAGGGGGGAGAGGCCCAGCGGTGGAGTGAGGCCGACCGGTGGAGGGAGGGGTGGAGGGAGGGAGCACGACGGTGGATATCGGCACCGGAGAAAGGCGGGTGAGGCCGCATCCGTATGTGCGTGGGGAGGAAACAGTCGTAGCGAAGGATGGGTGCCGAGGTGGTGATAGGAATTGGGTCTGGGGTAGAATTTGGGTGCCCAACCAAATATGGGGTCTATAGTAGGGGCCCTGCTGGAGTGATGTTTTTGTGCCTGAGCACCCATATTTAGCTATGGGGCTCAAGTAGAGGCCCGCGTTGGAGTTGCTCTAAAAGAAAGGGAAAAGAGAACCTAGTGGAGTTGTTCTCACATCCTGCTCCCATTCATGAAAATTATGAAACATGCCCGTGTAATCATTTGACACTAGGTCCCAACAATATCCCTTAAAGAAAGTTGTGTTGTTGAACCTGTTTGGACGAGGGCCAGAGTCCCTTCAATCTCCAAAATGGCCTCCTTCATAGAGAAAGGTCTTATCTCTTCAAAAAAAAAAAATAGAGAAAGGCCTTATTAGCTGCATGCATAGGTCAATATTAAAATTCTTGAGATTTATTTTTTGCTTGGGTGGTGCCAAATTACAAACTTTAAGCAAGATTTAATAGACAAATGTGGGAATATGTGAAATACAATGAAACACATCCTTAACCTTAGGCTCCGGATCATTCAAAACATATTAAGGAAAAATCTTAATCCAATCTTCGCCTGATCGGATAGTGAGGACCATGGGATCTTTCATCCTGTTCGGCTGATAGTTTCTACGGCTGATAAGCTAGCTTATGTTGTTTTGTTGGGAGAGAAAAATACCATAATATGACTGATAAACAGTTCATGTGATTGTCCTCACCCACTACTATTCCATTGGTATAAACTTTTGGAGGGCGAGCCAGTGATTGACGCTGACAATGTAAGCAAGCAACAGAGCACGGCCCGTTCACTCGGGAGATGCCAAGCAACCAAACGCCGAAGCATGCCTACACCGCTGCAACAGGGTGCACGAACTGGAGCAGCGCCGGGACCAGAGCTAGAGCACAGACGAGGCCAGAGGCAGAGCCACGGCGCTGCCGAAAAGCCCGGGAAAGCAAAGACAAACCACTGGGCGTCTGCGGCTGGGGGCACCGGACCGCTGGTTGCCTTTTCGTCTTGCTTTGTTGAGGTCAAGCCCAGGGCTCGTGACTCGTGAGTCCTGACGCGGTGACGCCTCAGGCTTTGCTGGCTTGCTGCCGCGAAGTGCGAAGACGAACTGCCCAATGGCGGGGCAAGGCCAAGCATGCATGCACGTTTCGGCCTAAGGATGGCAATGGCTAAATCCGCATCGGGTATGGCCATCTCAGATCCATCCTCGTCATAAAAATTTGGTACCACCAAAATACCCATACCTGTCATGGGTGGGGAATTTTCCCCAGATCCATACCCGACGGGTCACCCGTACCCGCTAATAATTTATTCACACACATGAAAATCAATAATTCAACAGCAACCACTACTAATCAGAGCACATAAAATTAGACAAATAATAGCATATAATAATAGGGGGCTGCTATTTCTCAGGTGCCTGAAATTTAAGTTTTTTTCAGGCAATGAACAGTATCCATTAGATCTTAATCTAACCATCCAGGAAACCAGCAGTCCAGCACTATACATGTTCTTTCTCTTCCTCTCTTGATCTCTCTTGGTCCTTGATTTCAGGCATCTGGACTATAGGAAACGTGATAATAATATCTTCTGCAACTAGCAGTCACATTACACCATCACACAAAGTCATTCTATCATAAATCATTATATTACATAGCCAAAAGGGGTAGTTTTTTTTTACGGCGGCGGCGTTTTTTTTTGGTGAGTGGTGATTGCGGTGCCAGGCTGCCAGCGCCGAGACGAGGTAACGACACGCTTTACTCACGCGCCTATTTTTTCGGCGGCGGGAGGCCAGGTGTCGAGCCTCCCTCGAGCGGTCGAGGGCTCCAGCGGCCAAGTCGCCAAGCGGGACCGGCGGGTGAACCTAGGGTTTTACATGGGCTGGTGGGCTTATTTAATTTTGGGCCAGGTATTTTTCACCCATGGTAAACGGGTACGGGGATTGCTAGAACATACCCATACCCGCGTACTCGATGGGTGAAGGGTTTAGTCCATTTACATATCCGTGGGTAGTGTGTTTAGTCCATATTTAGACTCTAATGGAGTAAATACCCGTCGGGTATCGAGTCGCGGGTCCCCATTGCCATCTTTATTTCGGCCAGGCTTTTCATACGGCTAAATAACCACACGTCACGCCTTTTCTCGACTGCAACGGTGTGCAACCATGGCCTAGATACGTACGCAAGCCTCGCCTTTTTTTTTTTTTGTTGTCCCCCGAGATGTGCATCACCAAACGGCAAGTTACCGAACACATGCAGGGGGTGTGCCGAGCTATAGCTTTTGCATGTTCCGATGGCACCAGGAGTTGGCGGTGTGTGTGCTTGTGTTCTGTCAACACTTTTGTGCCTTTGTCCATCATCCATCCATGAGAGATTTATTTACATGATCTTTCATTCTGCATGACTGCAATGGGGGTTCGAGTAATCGAGTATGTGTTGAGGCGTGGTCAACAACAGTTTGAGACCTTTTGTGCAAACAGCTCGGTTAGTGGTAAGTAGTGTTCTTGGGTTCGATGTCAGGACCCACTGAGCCGATGTCAGCCTCTCTGCCTGAACACAGCACGACGGGGCCCTTCCGTATCGGTGCCCAGGTTGCTGAAACGACCGACCCAATGCAGGAACCGATGAGCGGACGCTGCTATGCTACTATGAAGAGAATTGAACGATATACACAACTCACGAACTGAAAACTGTTTAGTTCCTTTCTTCGCAATGAGACCAATCCTTCAGTTCAGATATTCGTGAACATTAGAACTAATTGTGGAAACGAAGTTGGCGAGTTATTTGGACAAAACACTGAGCAAAAGCTCTGGTTTTCGCACGCCAAAACGGCATCATAAGCTAGAGGAGATGGAATGTGCAAGAACTAGCAGGGCCGAGCCGATGATAACGATATGACTGAACAAGGAAAATGGCCAGCCTGTTCGCTTATTAGTTTCAGCCAGCCTAAATCAGTCAGCTAACAATATTTTTCTCATCACAATAAAGCCCATGGCAGCCCACAAACCAACAAGAGAAGAGCTGCAAAACACACGTCCATCTCACTACATTCGGCGCAGGTTACAAGTGATCTCTTACTTCGACGACCATGAAGAGAAGAAGTAGGCGGACGACGAGGAGGAGGCCCGGTTGGCGTCGGTCACCGTGGCCAGCGACGGCCGTGCATCGGCGAAGCTCAGCGACGGCGGGGGGTACGCGGCCAGGACGCCCAACGGAGGTAGCTTCCTCATCGCCGACAGCGGCGGCGAGAACCCGCCGCAGTCCTCCTCGTCGTACGCGTCCGCCTCCTCCGTGATCCTGAACGGCGACGGCGACGCGCCGGGCGTCTCGAACGGCGGGGTGTCCCCCCGCCGCCGCCGGCGGCCGCCACCTGGCCCCGGTCGTACACCGGGTTGGAGATGCACATGAACCCGTCGCCGCGCGCCGAGGAGGCCGACCCCGACGACGGCGAGGAGCGGCGCGCGGGCGACCACCGCCACACGGCGCCCTCCAGCCTGGGGATGGCGAGGAGGAGGTCCTTGGTGCTGCTGGGCGCGTGCAGGACGCCGTGCGCGTAGTAGAAGGGCGGCGTGCCGGCGAGCGCCTCGCGTGCCGCCGTCGTGGCCGTGGTCGCCACCGACGACGCGGCGTCGTCGGCGCCGCGCTCCGGGGACGTCGTCGTTGCCAGCGCCAGGCCGAGCTTCGGCCGGGACGCCTCGGCGCGGAGTCGCCGGCGCCGGAGGTGCGCGCAGATGAGGTCCGCGAGGAGGAGCACCAGGATGGTGAGGACGATGGCCAGGCTCAGCGCCACCGTGACGCTCACCGCCACCGCCAGCCTCGACATGCCGTCCGTGAACATGGCTGGCTGGCGCCGGGCGCCAAGCGGAGTGGTCGCGGTGCAGAGCTGAGGGAGAGCGAGTGTGGCAGCTGCAGCTGCAGCAGGTGCAAGTGTGCAACCAACAAGAAGTGGCGCGGCGACGGCGAGGAGGACTGCTTGAGGTCGCATCAGAAGACAAAAGGCTGCCTGCACCTGCTTAGGAGCTGATGCCCCCCTCTTGATTGTCTAATCCACTTGTCGCGCTTCCTGAGGCGAGTTACTTCCAAAAGCTAGAGCCCGGTACGATTAGCGCGTGCTTTGTCTGAAGAAATCAGCAACCACTCCACTCGTCAGCATTCTGAGCCCTCACAGTGGCAACCGGGTCCCGTCCCGTGTGGGGTAAACCTGTCATCGCGAGCTGGTGAGTGAGAAGCTACGTGAGCTGTGTAGTACTAGGCCTGTAGAAAGGAGACGGCTCGGGCGGGGCGTGTTTTTGGCGGGAAGGCGATGACCTGGTCACTGTCGCAAATCCTGCTCTGACCGCACGAGTAGTCATCATCGTCGAGGTATGTCCGTATGTGTACGTGGAGAAGTGGGGATGTTGACCGTTCCTTTGTGGTCGTAGACGACACGTTCCTCCGGCAAGATTGCAAGTTGGCAAAGTCATAACATTGGTCAGCTCGTGTATTTGTCTTTTTTCCTGCGTTACAGTTTGGCCTTTTGGATCCATGCGAAACATATACAGTTTTGCCGGTTTGTTTGGATCACAATGATAGGAAATCAATAAGTTTTAAAGCAAACCGAACGGAGCCATAGGCATAGGAAATGATGTGCTAGGTTTCTCCAATCTCAGATGGTTAAAAAACACAGGAAAGTAAAACAGCTGCTCTTTGGCAGCAACACAGGAGAAACAAAGGATTCGTCCTGGACACGTTTGAGAAGCTTTGGCTAGCCATTGCAGTCAAATCAGACACTAGCCGTTACATGGAGTTACAAATACATGCAGCCGTTACATGGAGTTATAAATATATCCAGCAGCACACAAACTTCATGCATCTCATTTGCATTATGAAAAGATCAAGTAGCTCATCTCCACATCTGATTAGTCACAAAACACCACAAGAAAGCCTTTTGTCATATACAGCTAGCTCCTCTCTAAATCTGGTCGATCACAAAGCATGACAAGAGATCTGACTGGCACAGACACTTCATTTGGTAAGTCACAAATCTCATAACTGAATTTCAATTTATGTAAATATATATGAACTTTTATTTATGTATTGATGGACGACTTATTTCCTTTTTTGCTCTCTACTATATATTAGGTGGTAGACATCTGTAAAGCGAACCTGCAACATATTTGAGTATCCCTAGTTGGGTTTCCATTGTTTTAGTCATGGATCCAAACTATCGATGATGATCACAAAATGAAGATGAGTTCATGTTGTTTGTTCTCCCTACCATAGAAGATTCATCACACCCATCATCTAGTAAGAATCCCATACATACATCAAAACTGTCAAGAGCTGAGCGTGTTCATGAAATCTTAACAGGTCACGAGAGCCTAAGTAAAAGGAACTTCCAAATGGAAGTTGGTGTTTTCCAAGCTTTGGTCAATAAGTTGCGTGAGAAGCAACTACTTGCTGATTCAAGGGCTATCTCAGTAGAAGAGAAGGTTGCTATATTCTTATATGCACTAGCAAAAAATGCAAGTAATGAGACCTTGCAATATGAGTTTCAGCACAGTGGAGAAACAATAAGTCGCCAATTTGGAGCAGTGCTTGATGCAATTACACAGCTTACATGTGTATATATACGCCCACCTTCCCTACACCCGCACCAGATTTTGCGAAGACCAAAGTTCCACCCCTTCTTTCAGGTATGAACAAATGCACAATTTAATTTTTAAAGTTCAAAAGGTCACACAAACTACATAAAGATAATATGCTATATAAACCATGCATTTTTTTATTTCTGTAGGACTGTGTTGGTTGTATTGATGGGACTCACATACCAATGATACTTCCGTTGGATCAGCAAGAACCATATCGGAATAGAAAGCAAACACTATCTCAGAATGTTAAGCTAGCATGTGACTTCGATCTAAATTTTGTACATGTACATGCCGGCTGGGAGGGATCAGCTTCAGATGCAAGAGTTCTACAAGATGCACTTAACCATGGCTTTGAAGTGCCTCCTGGTAAATTTGTTCTAGTAGATGCAGGTTATGCAAACACCACACAATTTCTTGCGCCATATCGTGGAACAAGATATCATCTACAGGAACAAGGAAGAGCTAATCAAAAGCCTCGGGATTACAAAGAATTGTTCAATCTTCGACATGCACAGCTAAGGAACCATATTGAGAGGGCAATTGGCATATTAAAAATGAGGTTTCCTATTATGAGAACTGATGCACACTACCCGGTTAATAAGCAAGTGGACATATCAGTTGCTTGTTGTGTTCTAGACAACTTCATACTACGCCTACACAACAGAGATATGTTGTGGCCAAGTAACTCCAATGTTGAAATTGATGCAAACCAGATTGTTGACATGCCAAATGGAGATCTGAACTATAATGGTGATATTCAAGCATTCAATAACTCTAGACAAGCTGGGAATCAAAAGTGAGATGACATAGCAAGAAGGACGTGGGGTCATTACATAGCACGAAGGACTTAGTAACATTGTATTTACCGATATAAAAGTCAGGGTCATTGCAGCCCTTGTACTCCTAATTAGCAACTTAATATATTCTACTTGCTTCTACCAAAAGAGTGTAACTAGCTACAACCAAGTTTACCACCTATTGACCTAGGTTATTGATGCTGTATGGGTCCTCGGTCTCTTCCTCAAAAGGAAATTGCAAACCTGATTCACCCGAAGCATTTAACGTTGGAGACGGTGATTGATATGTGTCAGCCACTTGTGCTGCTTGTGTCGATGGAACTGACGCATTCTTTGCTTTGGTTGCGTAATGGTCTATGCCATGACAGGTTCTCCCTTCGGCATGACGACCTACAGAATGATGTGCAACAAAAAAATGATCACCACATTTTAGAAAAACAAAGAAAAATGCAAATAAAAAAGTACAGAATATGTGAACCTCACCATCGTAGAGTGAAGATAAAGCATCATAATATGGGAATGACCTATCTTGCCAATGGAGAGCGTCCTTATTGTTGTTGCGAGCAGTAAAACTAGCCCAAGCACTTGCAGGTGCAGTGAGCATCATTCTCTCATTATCCCATCCAAATCCACTTTCAGCCAACAAATCTTTAACACTACGGTAAGCTTTCTTCAAGTCTTGCTCCTGCTATTTGATTTGATTAAGAGAATATGATGTACCAAACTTTGTATTCACGCGACGAACAATGTTTGTCCATGCGTCCTTAGTCCAAGCATTATGTGTTCTGAAACCCGGCACATCATGTTCTTTTAAAAGATCAATAAGGAATAATTTCATTTGGTGACTCCATCTGGCTCTCTTTGTTGTCCCTAAATTCACTGCAGTTCAGATGATTACATAGACTCTGTTTCATCAGGAATATGCAACTACAAATTATAGGCAAGGTACTGGTGGATCTGAAATGAGAAGAAGCATCACCTATTTGCTGGCTATTTTCTATAGACCGATGCTCATCGTCAGCATCATCAGACCATTGTGATTGGGAGTGGTGGTGTCGTATATCATACAAAGTGTGTTGATCAACCATATTAATCTGGGTGGATCCTCTCCACGGCATCAGTTCCCTTGCAATAAAATAAGGTATATTAGATGAACTAGGCGTATAAAATACGGTAGAAAAAAGTACTCGGCATCAGTTCCCTCTACTCCAGCATGTAGCTGCTGCCTCCCGGCGCCAGGAGCACCCCGGCGACGCCTGTGGCCAGCGCCACTTGCTGCTGCGCCTCTTGTCTGCTCGCCGCAACCATCCCCCACCCCCAAATCCTCCTCTTCCATGGCTACAACCTGCGATCGGCGCGGCGTTGCGGCGGCCTGCGGGCTACGGGGACCGGCGCGCCAGCTGCGAGTGGCGCGGCTGCGCGGCACGGCTGGGGCTGCAGCGAGCGGCGAGCGGCGCGCCGGCAGCAGCTGCCGCTGGGGCCTCGGCCCTCGGGATGTCGTGCGGTCGCTTGGGGAGCTCCGCCTCCGACTCATGCTCGGACGGGGAAAAGTAACGTACTTGCATGCAGATAGGGGAAAATGAAATACCTGGACGACAGAGGAACATGCGGATGCATGGATCCGTACGGCATTGTAGCTGCGAGTGCTGGTCTGCTGGACTAGGTGGCCGGGGATGGGGTCTGGCAGATTCCGTCGCTGACTTTGGGGCAGGCCGACTCGTTGGTCGGCGATGGGGAGGGCCTCCCGCCGTCTCGTGCAGCGGTGATGGGGTCGCCGTCGCGTGAACCGATGATGGGGCGACCATCGCCTGCGCCAACGACGGGTGTCCGTCTACCGTCGCGTCAGACGGTGATGCGGCGGCGGCTGCCGCCCCTGGCCCGCGATGGGGAAGGGTTTCGTTTTGGTTGACCGAGCGGTGGTCTTGTCCTTATCTAAAAACACAAGCGCTAAGCGATACGAGCCAACGGGAAAACAAATGAGCGAGGAGCGCGAACCGTCTGTTTTCCCGCCAGTAAATTTTCCAAGAACTCGGAGCTCATGCTCCTTTTAATACAATCCTAAGGAATTGTTCTTTTACTCTTTCTGTGAACCAAAGAGCTCTATAGGAAAGAATCCTTAGGAAACTCAATTTTCCAAAATTTCTATGGCAATCCTTCAAACCAAAGGGCCCTCAATGGCAGCACTTTGATAGGGACAAACCGATTGGAGTAATAGGTCTGTTAAGAGCTAAGCTCTATTTGATCCTAGCTAATAAGTTAGCTAATGTCTTACCTGTCATCAAGTTAACAATTAGCCACTCATTCCGTTCTAAATTATAAGTTGTTTTGATTTTTTTGGTACATACATTTTATTATGCATCTAGATATAATATATTGTATAGATACATAGCAAATTCTATGTGCTTAAAAAGTCAAAGCGACTTATAATTTGGAATGAAGAGAGTATTAGCTAGTATTCTCTAACTGATACAACTAATAGTTCGTTGGGTGGATCAAACAGGCCTATACATTTTCATGATTGAAGTGCTCCTAAACAAACAGTACGACTTCGAGGAAAG